CCGCCCTGTGCTACGGGCCACAGCCCTGGAGGAGACCGGACACCTCAAGCGTGCCCAGGTCCGGACATGGTGCCTCTGTCCCCTGAGGGCCCATGCGGGTTCTTTCTGCAGTTCTGTGGAGCGACTGATTCCCCAAGCCCCTTCCTGAAGCGTCTGGAGAATTCACTTTCAAGGCAGGAGCCAGCAACCTGCACACCTGCCCTGTAGTTGCGGAGTGGGGTCCCTGTCCTTCTCTGTGGGGGTCTGGGCCTGGGAGGTGGGGAAGGAACCTGGGCTACTCAAAGCAGATGCAGGAGACGAGGGCTGAGATGACACCAAGGTGCGCTGTCCGCCAGGACTCACAGGGTGAGGACCAGCGCCCGAGAAGTGGGGAGCAGAGAGGCCGGGACACCCTCCGTGGAGGACCCGGGCAGGGGACACCCAGAGCAGCCCTGTTGCTTCCTCTGCTCCCAAAAGCAAAGCAGTCCCTGGTACAAACTTGGCTAAAATGCAGAGCGAAGGCAGGGATGTCATCTTTCATAACCGCATCGCCCAGAGGGTCACAGAGGAAGGCCTGTTCTCATACAAGTTTTTCCACACAAATCTACACGGACACAAGTTTTCGGTGCACATGGGAAATATAAATTAGGAAGTTAATTCCTAGCCAGTTCACAGAGCCCGTCCTTTTCACAACACGCTGCATCCGGAACACCTCTCCACGTGTGATCTACAACGCAGTGGCAATGACTTTGTCCACGTGGCCTCTCATAAGGACACACTGTGATTTGTCACTAATGCAGTGATTGGACATGCAAGTGGTTTGCAAAACCGTTACAGCACATCCTTGGATAGAAATTGCGTTATTCATCCCTGGAAAGCTGCCCTAAGATCAATTTCTAGCCAGGGGTTGTGGTGCCCACCTGTCTTCCCAGCATGCAGGAGGCTGAGTTCGAGGCCTCAAGGTCTTCCTGAACTGCATAGGGAGAGCCTGTCTCAAAAAACAAAGAACAATAAAAGTCCTTTTTAAAAAAAAAAAAGACTGGTCTTGCTATGTAGTCCAGGCTGGCCTTGAACTCCAGCGATCCTCCTGCCTCAGCCTCCTGAGAGTTGGGCGTGTTTCATCACCCCTGACAAAAGATCAGTTCTTAAGAGTTACTGGAGCTCAGGGTTAGTTATTCATTCATCACGCATACACCGGACAGCCCACCGTTGGTCAGGTGCTAGTCTGAGTACTCGAGACAGATCAGCACTCAGTCCCCTATAATCTCGGAATCCATGAACCTGGCTGGGCAGCTGGGGACAGGAACAGGGAACCAGGTAGTGACAGTGATGAAGGCTGTGGGGAGCCTGCCCGTCACTGCCACCCGTCAGCCTGCGCCTCTGCAACCTCACTGACGCCTCCCTGATGCAGTTTTGGTGAAAAACAAATGTTGAATTTCACATGTGCCTCACTACCCGTGAGGCTGGATAAGCTCTTTACTCCCCAGAGTTTGTATTTGCAGGTTGGCAATGGAGCCCGTTAATCTTCTCTGTCACCTGGGCTCGATGCAGAGGCTCCCTGAGGTTTTAGATCAGGGAGCCACAGTGGGTCGGTCCACTTGTGCTCCGGGCTGTTCGGAAAGCTCCTTCCTGTTGAGGGGGGTCCTGGGCCGAGCCTGGGAGGGTCCGTCCGTCTCCCATGAGCGCTGCCCCTCTGCTTCCCAGCACCACGAAACAAGCAGCTCCGTGCACCACTCTCTGCGGCAGCCGGCCATGGACCAAGCCTCGGAGACCGAGGGCCAAAGTGACCTCTCCCTAAGTCGTGGGCGTCGGCTGCTGGGTCCCAGGGACCGAAAGCCGACGAGCAGTTCAGATTGCTTATGTGCTTTCCTCTGATAGCAGAAGATGTCCACCCTCTGGCCATGCTATTGTAACCAAACTTTTTGCAGTTTGTCTCTTGCTTTTTACTGTTGTTGATGTGTCTGGAGCAAAGGACTTCTAAATTTTTATGTAGCTGGCTTGTACATGTTGTCTTTTTCAGTTTCTTTGTTTTAATAACCGAGGAAATCTCTATTAACCTAAGAATAGCTCAATATTCTTTCTGGGTTTTTAAATTTCCTTTCTAGTTTTTCTTCCTTTCTCTCATCAATGCGTATTACTCTGCTTTTGTTTTCCAAACAATCATCCCTGCACGGTACTCTGGATAACAGTTGGGAGGGAGGACAAGGTTATAAGCCACCCTGGGAGGTCGTGGGAGCGGGTGGCCCTGGCTGGTGCAAGTAGGCACCGCTCTGTCCCTCCGCAAGGAGACCCGTGGAGGCGACCACGTGGACTCACAAGGGGCCACAAAGGAAACCGGGGTGCAAAGCCTGTGGGCTGGGTGCGGGAGAGTGGAGGAGAGCCGGGCAGAGGGGAAGGCAGAGGGCAGATGGAAACCGGGGTGCAAAGCCTGTGGGCTGGGTGCGGGAGAGTGGAGGAGAGCCGGGCAGAGGGGAAGGCAGAGGGCAGAACAGAGCGGGCCTGGCACCGCAGCTCTCGGCCGCCCTCTGCCGGCCACCGCGAGTCACGCAGCGGGGGGCGTGACCTTGGGGCCTGCGGACTGCAGCGGACCGCAGCTCTGATCTCCAGTCCTGATCCTCGCTGTGGGGACAAGTCGTGACCTTCATCAGCTCCAGCCAGACCCACGGGTGGGGACGGAGAGGAGCGCGGTGGGGCACAGGGAGCGCGGGCTCCCAGGGACATGGGCTGGGAGCCACAGTGCTGGCTTTAACTCGGGGGCTTCAGAGCCTGGCTGCCTCTTCCTCTTCCTCTTCCTCTCCTCCTCCTCTCTCTCCATTTCTCTCTCCCTTCCCCCCTTGCCCTTCCCCCTCTTTCTTCCCACCAGAGCTCCGCACTGCCCGCCAGTCCTCAGGGATGAAGCAGGAGTGGAGCCCGAGCCTCAGTTTCCCCCCGCTGTTCACACTCAGCGTCCTGAGGTGTGGCGCCCTGCCCCGCCCGACAGACGGAGATCGCAGTCCTGGCCGCGCCCCCCAGGCCAAGGTGGCCGCTGTCCCAGCACGGCAGAGTCCGAGGGAAGGACAGGCCCTGGCCCCAGCCTGCCCAGAGCCCCGCGGGCCTCTGTGCTCCGCACTGGAGACGGCTGACATATTTTGTCTGTCTCACGGCAGTTTAAGTAGCCAGCCCGGCCCTCGGGAGGCTGAGGCAGGAGGATCAGTGAGAGTTCAAGGCCAGCCTGGTCTACGTAGGGAGACCTATCTCAGAAAGGCACACACAGAAAAAGGTATAAAAATACGCTGTAAAGTTTCCCAGTGTTTCTCACTGGGTTCAACTACAGAGTTTTACTGGTTTCCTTGCAAGAGAGGAGAAAGCATATTTATAAGCGTGTGCGGACCTTTCAGCACCGGAGACTCACTCCTGATTTCTAGACACCGGAGCAGTATTCCAAGGCGGGTCAGCGGCGCCAGCCCTTTCCTTTCATGGAGGCGGGTGTGGTGTTCCCGCCCGTGCTCCTCCCCTCTCCCTCGGCTCCGGCCACCTTGAGGTAATCGGCCTTCCTCTGCCGGCCCCTCCCGCCATGCCGCTCTGCCTTGAGCCAGCTGACCGGGGGCTGAAGCTATGAACCAAAATAAACCTCTCCGCTTTTAAGTCATGAGTGGTCGGGTTTTTTCCCCCCATTGATGGGAAAAGTGACTAAAACAGAAAGTTCTAGATCAAGGTATTCATTCAGCAGTAGGATACCCAGGAGGGCTCTTTGTCTAGGGGCTTTAACGTGTTTTGAAGGGAACTCAGGCAGTTGTGTGAGCTCTATACAGCGGACCCTTGAGGTACGACCAGCCTGACATATGAACTTGGGTTACAGCCAGGATTTTAGTTTTAATTCATCAACAAAGTCTTGAGTTATGACCTGAATGCCGGCCACTTGTGCTTCCAGATGGCCTCAGGTGCAGACTTCACCCTTCAAGAGTCCTGGGAAGAGCAGGACACGTGCTCTCCCATGGGGTTCACTGGGAAATCCTGGGCCGGGGTCCCTCTAAGGATGCTGAGATCGGCCTGTGTGCAGGAGAGAGACTCTGAAGGCCGTGTAGAGGAGCCTGAGCCTGCACTGACCAACATGAGTTACAGCCAGCCCTGGAGAATGGATGAGTTCGTAAGTCAAGGTCCACTGTACCGTCTACTCTATAGGGTTCCCTACAGTCTCCTACAGGAGAGCCCATATTTGGTCCAGTCTGTGCTGTGTCCATGCGGTGCCACGCAGGGCCCAGGCACGAGCCAGCGATCTGTCTGATCCCGCTCTGGGCAGGTCCCAGGCAGCTGCCGGACACCTGGTGGATGTTTGTGTAAGGTCTGGGGGGGGGCCTCACCCAGCAGCCTCCATTTTGGGCTTCCGGACTCCATTTTGGGCCGCTGTCCATACTCCTGACAGAACCCTGCCTCCTGCCTCATTCATCCTGTGGGCCTTGTTTCTGGTCCCATTTTATGATGTTTTCACACCTGCTTTTCATCCTGCTACTGTGAACACGGCATCTTTACTTCTAATCTCTGCATGATGCTGGGAGGGGATCCCAGGGAGACCCCACCTGCAGCCCACTCCCCACTGCGACCCTCCCAGGAGAGCTGACCAAGTCGGCAGGTGCGTCCCTCAAATTTGGGACATACACAATGTCTTCCTCAGACCTCGTCATCAGAACAGTTTCCAGAGAAAGATTTGGCTCATTTCATCAGGAAGAATACGCGGGCGGCTCATTCCAGCCACAATCAGTGCTCCTCCCTCCATCCCCAGGATGCATCATTCTTGCTTCCTGCAGAGCCATTTTCTCTCCACCCCGGAGGACTCCGTCAGCACGAGTGTTCGGTTCCCCACAGGATTTCTGAGCACTGCTTGTGTGTCAGGGTGTGAAAGAGCAGAAGGGGAGGCCTCGGCCTTGCTCTGGTTCTCACTTGCTGGGACTTCCTGAGCCGAACCTAGCTTCCCCTTGGGGCTGGGAGAACAGCACTGAAGTTATCCTGGGTTCTAGCTGTGTAACCTTGGGCAAATTACTCACCTAGGAAATGAGGTAATTGGACCACGATGCCTGCTGCTGTTTCAGTCACAGCTGCTTCCTTGGCTCGATGCCTCCCTGGCCTTGCTCTCCCGTCTGGAGTCTCTTCCCAGCGTCCCCGGCTTCCTCCCATGGCCGGAGTGTTCCCCGTTACTTCGCACCACCTGGATCTGTCTGCCTGCAAGACGGCAATGGAAACACACTTTATTACACAGAAATAAAACCAGATCAGTACACGTCAGGCACCAATTTAAAGACGTTATTGTGAAAGATAAAAGTAAGCTCATTTGGAAAAAACAGGAGACTACGCCTGTGGCTTCAGGCAAGGAGGAGCACTTGGCCACTTGGCTTGTATCTACCTAGGCACAGGGCGGCAAGCCAAGGCAGCCTCTGCAGTGTCCCTGCTTGGCTGGAAGGGTAAAGAACAACAGTGGAGCCTAAGAAACACTTCTGAAGCTCAGAAACTCAGGCCCACTGAAGAACTAAAACTGGGACACAAGATTTTAGAACTGTTCCCTCTCCCGAACGTCGTTGCCAATTTAGTAGTAGAGTATTTTAGCTAGAAGAGCTGCAGGAGTATTTGTAAAGTGCTTCCGGAGAAACAGAGGAAAAATTATCAAGGACATTAGAAGAAATTAAATCCTCTGGCACCTGCAGCCCTAGTGAACATTAAGCACAGCCCAGATGAACACCTGATAACCTACTAAGCTGATGACCGTCCCTCAGTATGCGGCTTTTGAAAATGATAAAAGGCACACATACAAAAACAGGGACAAGCATCACCTGAAGACACAAAGCAAGCATTGGAACCAGATTCAAAGGTGACACAGATTATTTTGAACCATGAGAAATTTAAAATATATATGATTGACATGTGAGGGGCTCCAATGGAAAAATATAGACAGCATTCAAACCAGATAGGTAGGAAATGTCATGAGATCCAGACTCTACAAAAGAAAAAAAAGAAGTCCTAGAAATAAAACATACTGCAATAGAAAAAAAGGGTGCTTCTGGTAGCTTTGCAAGGAGACAGGATGCATTTGAGGACAACTGGGGAGCTTGGAAAGAGTGACAGAGACGTTCTAGACAGAAATACGAAGACAAAATAAGGATGAGGATGGTAAGTACAAAATGAGATCACTGTAAAAAGATTAATACACACGTGCAATATATAATATGTATTTTATATATCAGGTTAGGCTACCAGAAGTGAAGCAAAAATATAGCAGATGAAATATTTGAAATAATAATGATAAAGATTATCTCCAAAATTAATTTCAGACACAGATTCAGGAAGTTCAGAAAAAACTGATATATATAACTGACAAATATATATATCACATTCAAACAGCAGACAGTTACCAAGAGGGAACTTAGCACAAAGCTAAGGAGAAAACACACCTTACCTATAGAGGAGCAAGAATTACACTAGACTTTATGTGAGAAACAGAAACAGAGAGAGAGAGAGAGACTGGACAGACAGAAAGACGGGGAGGAGGAAGAAGGGGAAACGGAGAGAAAGGAGGGGGAAACAAGAAAGGGAGAATCAAAAGGGAAGGGGCAGAAAGGAGGAAGGAGGGAGAACACAGCTGAGCTGAACAGCAATCATTAGCCAAGTGGAACTAAATGACATAGGGCTGAGGTTTAGCTCAGTGGTTCTGCCGCGTGCCTTGCAAGCACAAACATCTGAGTTCGATCCCAGTACAAAAAAAAAAATGACATTTTTAAAATACTTTCTCTGACAACAGAAGACAATTCTTCTACACTCATGTGGAACATTTATCAGGAAAGCCCATCTTCTAGCTCTTAAAACATTTCTGAACAAACTTAAAAGACTAGAAATCATGCAAAGTGTGCTCTTTGATTACAATGGAATTAAACTAAAAATCAGTAGTAACAGAGTAATAGAAAATTTCTGAATATGGAACAATACTAGATTCGCTATAATTTTATCTCCTTACAATGTCCAGAAGACTTTAAGGAGAGTGGAATTATTCCATGTGATGCTGTAATGGACACACAACATCTTGCTCTTATCAAAACCTACAGAATTTTGCCACAACGAGAGAATCATAATATCTGCAAATTTTAAGAGGCTGTAGAATTCTAGGAAAAGATGCATCCGAGACCGAATCAGCTAAGAGCTGGACATACGTACCCATATACGCCTTAAATGCCAAATTCTTAAATTCCCTTCCAGAATTATCTTCCAGGTCTTTCACAGGTGATTCTTGCTGTTTGCAAACGTCTTTCCAAAACTGCACACGAGCCAAAGAATCTAGGTCTTCAGGTCAAAATGTCACAAGCTCCAAAATCCCTGATGGAACAGCTCCACCCATGTGACGTAGGGACCTGTGGGCTCGTGACTCTCCTGTGTATCCAGCAAGTGCTCACGGCCCGGCACCAGGTTTCTGAAGAAACCAAAAGCTTTATGGGCACAGCCCTGGGGCAAGGAGGCCAGGAGCTCCGGGGAGCCTCGGGAAAGTTCCGGAAGTGATGGGGAGAAAGTTGCTTGATGATTGGATGACTGCCTGGTCATAGTCACGTGGTCGCATGGGCCTCTTTGGTTTGTTGACGCTTCGGGTTTCCATTTCCTGCCACAGCTGTGGGGCATCATGGGAGGGGGTCCACGGGCTTGGCTTTGGGAAACAGCTGAGACGCTAAAACTAAAGCCTTTCGGGAAGAAATGCTGGCCTTGGGCTACGGGAAGGGGCTCAAGGAAGGAGCGGGCGGATGGGAATTGAAATTTGCAAAATTCCTGCAAAAGAGATTTTTTTTAAAAGGAAGTTAATTATATATGTGAATATAATTTTGGAGGAGATACATACACACACACACCCTTGCTAATGAGTGTGTAGGGGAACAGAGGTACTTGTGACTTTTTTTTCATAATTCTAGGAGATATTTGTCTTTTTAATGTGGTCTTTTTTCAGGTACAATTTTTTTTTCTGATTTGGTTTTCCACTACGTGTTTGCAGTACGTCCCGTGATCACCCTCCCGCGGAGAGCTGGCGCACGTATAGAGCAAACCTTCATATTTTTTTCAACCCTTTCCTGCCCCTTCCTCTCCCTCTATCTCCATCTCTTGGCTTCTTTTTCCGTAGTTAAGATTTTCCGTATTCACTTTCACAGCAGTTAGTCCCAACTACTAGAAAATGCCTGAGTAACTGTACCACAGTGCTTTTTATTAAAAATGATTCTTAGCTGAAGCTCCTAATAAAGTAATCTGTTTCTGAAATAGAATACTCCACCTGGGCTCTTCCCGGTTTTCTTTGACACAATGTATTGCATTCCTGCTGCTCCTGAGGAAGGAGCGAAGGGTCCATCGCTGAGCCCGAGTGCGATACTGACTCAGAAAGGCCGGGAGGACCCGTGTTTACTATGCAGGCAATACTTGCCCCCAAATAGGAATATTTTAAGATAGCGCACATCAGAGCAGCCTGTCCACTTGGCAGGGTGCCCATGTGATGCAGAACATTTATGTAATCTACCTCCATGTTCCCCGTTCTGTTAATTCTCACAACGACTCAGCGAGGGGCACCGTGACGCCTGTTTTGTAGCTGGGGACACTGACAGATATTGCAGAACCAGTCAGTGGCAGAGCCAGGATCAGGAACCGTGTGTTTGTAACAAGGATATTGAACCGTCATCCCTCAGCAGACTCAGCGGGTGGCTTCCGGGGGACCCCCCATCCCGAGGTACTAAAATCCACAATGCTCAAAGCCTGAATATAAAAGAATATAATATATTTGCATGGAATCTACACGTATTCTCTCATGTACTTTAGGTTTTTCCTAATCCCTAATGCAGTGTCAATGCTGCACTGCTATTTAGGGATTGATGGTGAGGGAAAAGTATCTGCGTGTTCACGACGGACTGTTTTCCCCCCCTGAATACGCAGTGTGAGTGTAGAACCGGCAGAATCCGATGTGGCTGGCCGTACTTCTAGGACGATTAGTCAGAGGAATCGGCTGGCTTCACTGCTGTTTGTGTTACGCAGTGCTGTGAGCGAGCCTGACACTAACACACACCAGACCCACCATGTCTGCGCAGGGCCAGAGAGTGCTGTGGGACACAGCTTCCCAAGCTGGGTCGGCCTTATCAGCCTGGAATGGCCCAGGACTCTAGGATCTCAGAGCAGCCGGTGCGCCTGCAATCACAGGGTCTTTCCTTCTGATTGTCATCACTGCCGTCTTTAACACTCAAGTCAGACATCCTGCTACACACTGCGGCGGAATGAACAGTGGCTGACAGCCAGCAGGGGGCAGGGGAGAGTCAGTCACCGCAGGTGCCTCATGGGACCACAGACCCACCAGGGTCTAACAGGCAGGGCTGGCAAGGTCACAGGTGTTTGCCCAGCTGCCCCTGGAGCCAGGCGTGGGGATGCGGCTAAGGTGAAAAGGCACTGCCAGTTTGCCCCTGCTGGCCTGGTGCTGTGCTCACTCAGTGGCCTGACAGGATGACAGCTTGGGTGTCCGGCCACGCCCAAGTGCTGGGCGTGCCTCTTTGTTCCGTTCTGGTGATCCGTGAGCTCGGCCTGGCTTTCTCTGAGAATTTAAAATATGTCGTGTGTCTGATTTGAACTGAGACATTTACAGCTGTTAATGTTCTGTTAGCATAGTTCATCTATCGGCTTCTTTTCAGTGACTGTGCTGGGCCCCTGGAGTTGGCATCTACGTGGGTTTGGTGCAGCACCTAGTGGTGATGGGTTTGCCAAGTTGCCAAGTCATTCGGCGGCAGCATTTGCACTCCAAATGGAGCAAATCCAGCACTTCTGGGAGGCTGAGGCAGGAGGATTGCATGTTTGAGCCCAGCCTGGGCAACTCAGTGAAATAATTAAGACCATGTCTCAAAATAAAAAATAAAACAGGCTGGGCATGCAGCTCCGTGCAGAGGCCCTGGTTCAGTTCCCAATACTGGGCAGTGGGGGGTGGGGGTGGAGTAAACTACTGTTTTCTAAAATGCAGCGTAAAATGGGGCCTGAACACCACCATCCTGCACAGCCTGGAATAACTCACAGCTGGGGAAAGCCTACTCTTCCAATAAGGCGGGAAACAATAGAGCCCATGCTGTGCCCCTGGCTTAGGAGAGGTGGGAACAGGTGAGGGAGGGAGGGAGACACCGGGGTCAGACAGAGCAGCCGGCAAAGCCAGGGCACAGCATGGGCTCTGAGAGACCGCAGTGTTCCCAGAGGTGAGTGGACCAGGTCTCAGAGAGCCGGAGCGGGATTCAGACACAGGCAGGTCGCCTAGGACTTCCGCAGGCCTGACTGCGTCTGCACCAAAACAGCATACAAACCAGAAAGCTGTTAGAGTCGTCCAGAGTGAGACTGGGAGCCAGGGCGCTGGGCCCTGCCAGAGGGGACAGAGACCAAAGCATGGTCTGAGGACGGTGGGAGAGTGGCTGCACCACCCCAGGCTGCGGAGCAGACGAGAGGGAAAAAATAAGGGAGCTGCCAGGGTGCACGTGGGATTCCTCTCAGAAATGCGGGGCCGGTGACGGTGGACAGGAAGCCACACCTGGGCGACGCATTCCGAGGGGTTCACAGGAGGTCCACCCTGGACCTGACCCCATCCAGCACCTGGGTCCCTGCCCACGACCACGGCAGAAGTCATCTTGCTGGGCCAGACTGAGTCGGACCCCAGCACTTTTGTATAGGGAGGAAGTGTGTCCACCCCCACCTTCCCCGGGGATATTGACGGAGGCCAGCAGGAAGGCGAAAACACACCTGGCCCTCGCTGGGGGGTTCAGTTGTTAAAATAGAATGTCACTTCATAGCTCAGTAGGAGAGTGGAGATGACAGCCTGTGATTCTAACACTCAGGGAGGCTGAGGCAGAAGGGTCACAAGCTTCACTCCAGCATGGCAAACTTTTAGGGGGACCCTGTCTCAAAGTAAAGGGCCAAGGGTGCAGCTCAATGTGAAGACCCTGGGATCAACAATTCCCAGGACTGGAAAAAAAAACAAAAAACAACAGGAAAGAAAATGGAACTAGTGACCATGAGGACATTCCGAACAGTGGCCCAAGCTCTGGGGAGAAGCAGGTGGGCAGTGTTGTGGGGTCCAGTGAGGTAGCTGTGTGCAGAGCACAAGGACAGGGCAGGCCCTGGATCTTCCACCAAACTGTTCTTGGCTCCCCTGCGTCTGCACCTGACCCAAGGCTCCCGGTGGCATCTACACCCAAACCAAGGCGTCCTACACTCTGCTGGCGCCACACCTACCGGAAGCCTGGGCTGCTTCCCTCTCCGGGACTGGAAGCTGTGCTCACCCGAGGTGGTGTGGACCCGGCTCATTCCGTCTTCTGGGGGGAACCCGGGGACCCTCTGCCCACATTCTGTGGACCTCTCGTGTCTGCACTAAGTCCATTGTGTGGTGGGGACACACGGAGTGGAGAGAAGAAGCTCGAAAGATGGAGGGACCAAGATGGCATCGGAGGGAGTCACAGCCAGGGAGGGCTTGAAGGTCAAGGGGTGTCAGTGTCACCTTGAGTTTGCAAAGAGCACGGCCATAGCAAGGATGAGAAATGAGAAGAGACAGCAGGTCTTGGGGTGGGCCACCGACTGGGAGGTTGTTGCTGTTAAGAAAATGAGACAAAGCCGGGCGTGGTGGCGCATGCCTGTAATCCCAGCACTTGGGAGGCTGAGGCAGGAGGATCGCTGTGAGACCCTGTCTCAAAAACAACAACAACAACAAAAAGAAAATGAGACTTGAAGTCATGGGATCAATCTGGAGGGCAAGAAGAGGGAAGTGTTGAGCAGGGAGGATGGGCAGGATCCTGAGGTGAATCACCTGTGAGAGGACAGGAGCAGAAAGGCGACTCCTGAGAGTCTGACCTGGGCAGCTGATGTTGGAGAACACGGACAGGAAGCAGAACAGGTTGGGGACGGGAAATAGCTGACTTCCGTGTATTCACACAAGTCGGGTTTCTGAACGGCTGACAGATGGGCAGAGCCCAGGAGAGGCATCTGGCTGGAGCCAGGACAGCCTGGGAACCTTAGAGGGACAAACAGATATGACTGTGGTCACGCTGCTTGGAGATGCGTTAAGGTTATCAACAGGAAAATGAATGGAAAGAGTTATTGCTGTGCCTGGCACACGAGGTCGCTCAAATTAATTATTTTTGCAATGTGTTTATTTCCCTCTGATTCTTAAATGAATTATGAAGGCTGTTCCCCCTACAGGCTGCTCTCTATTAGCGACACTCGCTCAGGTTGGTACACTGTGGACTTAAAGGGAGAGGCTTATGCAATTTTCCTCAGGCTTTCGGCCAAGAAAATGAGGTCGAGAAAAGTACAGCAGCGACGCTTGTCACTGGCCACTGAAGAATGGGACAGCAGGGAGATCTGCGAGCAGGACAGGAAGTGGCTCCCCGCCCACAGGCCAGGAGCAGAGGAGCTGGGTGCCAACGGGGTGATGGGCGCGGCTTGCAATTTGGGGCGCCCGGCAGGAGAGGGCGGCGGTCAGGAAAGCGCCCCAAGCACAGACGGCCACCCTGTCACTGGGTCCTCCTATGGTAGAGAGGCGCGGGGAGCTCTCCAGGGTTGCTCTCATGGGGACTTCCCTCGCCTAAGCATTCACCTCCCGCGCCATTGGATGAAGGTCTTCGGGAAGACACAGGCACTGTCGTTCCATGACAGGTCGACTGGACAACAGTGGTTGGGTACCCAAGTGTAGGCGAAGCAAGGTGCTAGGGCCCATGGGATTCGTAAGCACAAGGAGACCAGGGCGCTACTTGGAAACATTGAACACAGCTAGCCTCAAACAATGAGGGAGCACGTCCTGAGCCCTTACTTGGGCCAGACACTGGCCTAGGATTGTACAAGTATCAGCTCTTCCGGTGCTGAAACAAATGTTCGGAGTGCATGTTATTACCACAATTCCTACTGAACGGAGGGAGAGTGGAAGCAGGAAAAGGAGAAGGCGCAAGGCGCCCCCCAGGTGGGAAGATCAGTGGTCACCGCGAGAGGACAGTGCCCAGTAAGGAACTTGCTGAGGGGCAGAGACCGGAAGTGGGGAGCGTAGGAGACTGGTCCAAGGCGTGCTGGGAGACGAGTAGGGAGCCCGCTTAGCACAGAGTCAGCACCTCACTCATATCTGTCGATGAGAATTTGAGAACAGAAGTGCTAGCAGGGCCGGGGATTTGGCTCAGTGGTTCTGCCGCCTGCCTCAAAAGTGCATGGGCCCAAGTTCCATCCCTGGTACAAAAATTTAAAAAGTACTAACAAAAATGTGTAGAAAGTGTGGTGGTTAATCTTGATTGTCTCTGTGACCGGACAGACACCCTGGAGAGTAGTGAAGATGCTTCTGAGGGTGTTGGGTGCGTCGTAGGCTGACTGAGGACTGGATCTGGTCCCTGGCCTCTTCCTCTCTTGCTCTTCGCCTTCCTCTCCACTTCCGGTCAGGATGTGAGCAGCTTCCCCTCTGCCACGCCCCTTCCACCGTGATAGAAGCCGACAGCCGTGGACTGAAACCTCTGAAACTGTAAGATGAAATAAACCATTTCTCCTTTACATTGTGTGTGTCACAGGGCTAAAAAGCTGACGGATACAGGTAGGGTACCAGGGCCAGGCTGCCGAAGGTCTCGAAGGCCAAGTGAGGGAATTCCATCATTCTTATATCGGCAGCGAGGAGCCGGAGACTTTCAAGGAAGAGAATGCTGTAACAAAAAGAGTGGTTCGGGAAAATTGACACGGCGGGCAGAGTTGCCAAAATGTTGAGGGAGACATAATGGAGGCAAGGCGCAGGTGCAGTCGGGAGGCTTTTGTAGCTCAAGGACTTGGGGACTGGTTCGTTTCTTCAGAGGAAAGTCTATGACACTCCCTTATTATAAAGAACCACATGCTCACGATAGGAAAGTCAGAAAAAACAGAAAAGTGTAAAAATCAAGAGCAGTCATGAAACAAATATAAAGAAGTATGGTTAACTTTTTTCAGTATAAGTATAAATAAGTATAGTTACTTACTTTCAGTTCTTTTTTCTTGCCGCACTCCCCCTAGGTAGCTTGAGCGTGAAGGATGGACAGGTGGTGAATGGCCGGTGGCAACAGAACTGGAATCATATTGTGTACAACCTGGGCCTCTACTTGTCCCCTTTCAGGCTCACGTGGGCAGTGGCAGTGTTTCTTCCCACACCATCACTATTTCATGAAGCGGTCACATCACATGCTGGGTGGGTTGGAATGTGATGCTAACAATTTCTGGATGGTTGAATGTTTCCTTTGGTTCCTATTTTGGTGTTGTAGTGGCAGATGGTGCTTCTGGGAGTCTTCAACACATCATTCTTAGCCCTGTCTCTATTTCCCGGGGCCCAGTTCCTAAGATTTAAGTCACTGGGGGAAAGGGCATGAGCATTTTTAAGCCTGACCTATATTTCCAAATCGCTTTTGGGAAAGATAGCAATAATTCCCATATCCACCAGCCCTGGGCAAAAATTCTACCAGTGGATTGTACATGCTGAGCCAGCTCAAGAGTATCCGGCCCTGAATGTTGTAGGTTATGCAAGAACACAGTTTCAACCTGGATTTCAAGTAGTATGACTTGGATTATGTATCAGATCAGGACAGTTCTTTCTCAAAGCCAGATTTGGTCAGAATGCTCAGAATTGGATAAGGCACCACTTAGGTTGGGGGAGGGGAAAAGAGGACTGGAGTGACCACTTCCGGTGCCAACCAAAAGGAAGGGAACTCGGAGCAGATCTTTAAAGCAACTGGAGGTCTGCTTTCTTAGATACCTTATTGCTAAGTGGGCTTCAAACGATGAAATGATGCTTATTCAGAGACCAGTTTCCTTAAACTTTTATCCTTTTTCCGTCTCCTCCTGATAAGCTGAAATTTGGTGGATTTATTCATCACGAAAACCTTCAGCAGAGTCTGGAAGAAGACATAGAAGGGAAAGGAAATCACCATGGCTACCTCTACTTCTTTTCTGATTGATAGAGGATAAAATTAGTAAGTGAAGAACTTAACGTTTCCTGCTCTCTTTGAACCTCACATCACAGAAAGTTGAAAGGTGGTCTTAGAGAAGATCGGGCAGGTTTTCCTTTCACTCACAAAAGACCCAATTTCCTAGCTCGGAAGATCGTTATGTCTCCTCCTTTAGAACCTCCAGTGGACAAAACGTCTCGCGTTTCTCTGAGAGACTCCCAGGACCTCACCTCACCTCTTCCCCATTGTCCTCATCACTGGTCCTAGTTTGCTTATTTGAATGATGAGCAGGAAGGTGTGGCTTCGATCAGAGTCAACTTGAACCCGGACAACTCCAATTCTAACATGAGGGATGCTCCCCGGGGAAGATTTGAGGAGGAGGACAAGGCCCGCTCTCCTTGGTATTTTCCACAGGACTTCTGCAGTATTCTTTTAGCTCTGCAAACAGATCACACTGGGGTCTCGGGAGGACGGACACTAACCAAGCCGTTGCGCATAGGTGAGACACCGAGGCACAGAGGCTGAGCAATCGGCTGAGACCTCTCAGGTGTACAGCTAGGGAGCGGCAGAGATGGGTTTCAGAGCAGCCCAGCCTGGTCCCAGAGAAGTGCTCCCAGCCACTGAGCTGTTTCTCCTCACAAAAGCCTTTCTCAGGTTCTGGGGGGGCCTGAATCCGCCCTCTTTGCTTCCCAGTATTGTTGCCTCAACAGACCTGTGGCTTGCTTCTCTGAAACCTAGGCCGGGAACACAGAAATGTACTTTACCGCCTGCCACAAGGCATAAACAATATATTGTTTGTAAAATAACGTTATTCATCTCTTGGCACTTGCTAGCTGTGGGACCTTGGGCAAGTTTGCTTATTCACTCTGTGCCTTGGTTTACCCTTCTGTCAAACATGACAGCAGGACACAGACAGGCCAGGTTGGCATCAAATCAGGCCAAGCTCCTGGACCCAGTAAGTCAGGTTGGAGACTGTGGGCCTTTGGAAGGACAGCCGGAAGCTGTTTCAGGGCCAGTTTATGGGTTTTAAAAGAACCTCTTTAACCCATGTGATGCGGAGCACAATTTCTTTCTCCCTGACTCAGTCGTAACAAACCCAAGGGGACAAGGGCAATCATTTCCAAGCTGTAGAATTAAAGGAGCAAAGATTCCAAGAGCATGAATAGGTTGCTGAGGGTCGTGATGACTTTGTCCTGGGCTGCCTTCACTAGCAGTAGCTGTGAACAGAGGAAACGGAAGAGACAGCCATCACCCAAGTTCAGGTCCCTGGGGCGTTGAGTATGAGGTCATCAGACACTGCACCACAGGACACGAATGACATCATCAGGCGTGACCTCATCAGACGTGATGGCATTGGGTGTGATGTCACTGGGCGTGGCATCCCAGACCTTCTTGTGTCCATCTACTTCCTTGTGCAGAGACCACCACAGTCCTTATCTCTTGAAGAGCTTGTCTGTGAGTTCCATCAACCCTCTTTATACGGAAACTTGGCCTCCCCACTGTTCCTGATTAATCTGAATCTCGGGTGAGGAGACACAAGTCAGTCGCCATCTGCCCTGGGCAGTGTCAGTCTGACCCTGTGAGCTGCTTGGCTTCCCTGTCATCTCCTCAGGGATACGGAGAGAAGCCCAAGGCTACCCCAGGAGCAGGAGAGGATGTGACAGCCACCGAGCACCTGCTCTGGGCCAGGCTCCAGGCTGCCCTCGGGACAGGCCTGCTGGTTTGTTTAATCTGCCAGGTGTGATCAAAAGCTTCAATTTTAAAATCATATTACAGTAAAAGACCCTTTGCCATGAATCCCCTCAAATTCCCCTCCTCACCTTGCACACACTCGTCCCACTGTCGTGGCTGCCTCCAGCGGCTCTGCAGTCCTCTCTCCTGAGGGTCTTCAGCTACGCTGTCCTGGATGTCTCCATGTCCTGACTCAATTCCAAACATTCCCCTCTCACGATCATCCTGACTTTGGGGAAGAGCTGGAAGTCACTCAGCATCAGAGCTGGTGTAAGGTAGATGAGAACACAGGGTCGTGTTTCTTATGAGCTGCCTCTCTGTGGCGTGGTGATCAGCAGCAGTGGTCACTGATTTATTACACCTCCTAAAGACACTTGGGAAAAAGGACTCCAGAGCTGCTTCAGGAAGTGGCAAGAATCATGGGCTAAGTATGTTTGCAACAGGGGGAAAGGAGTCCAGGGAGGGTTAATGGCAAAGTGTCTTTCGTTTAAACACTCACTGTACATTTCAATAGGCCTCACAGAGGCATTTTAGGGAGGTTTCATTGCACCGGCTCTTTCTGTGATCAGACCAAGTGTTTCTGAGACCTCTGTAGTTAAAGGAGCACAGTGTGAGCCACATAGTTTTATGACGTTTCCATGAAATTTTACACACAGCCACGCACACTTGGAATTTTAGAGTCACTTTGCATCTGCGTATTTCAGCCACCTCCAGCTATGAAAGAGCAAGGTGTGCTTGCAAGGCCTGGAGCCCAGAGAGAACCACTGATCCATCGTGACCCCAGCTGGCCCTCAGCTGTGGATGTTAATGAATGTTTACTGCTGGACAGCAGGAGCGGAACAGAAGAAGCTCGAGGTGAAAGCCCCACTTGGGTCTTCTCTGGAGCCAGACAGCCCAGGGATTTCCCACTGCAGGTGCACACAGAGCACCGAGCTCTAATTTGCCAGGTGATCATTGCCTTTAGGCTGGCAGCCAAGACTTAACACTGCCACTGCCCAGCATGGCAGGGGGACAGGTATGTCCCAGGAGCACTTACTAGATTCCACAGAGATCAGGGCTGCTCTGCAGGGCCGGGGTCCAGAACAAGACTGGCTTTAACCCTGGCCGTCCAAGACTCCTATCCTAGACACAACATTTGGTATCTTCCAGCATAACCCTCTTCCCAGCCTCCTCTCTCCAGCTCCCACAAATATATATATGACCTGCCTTGATTTTGTGACTTAAATTTTTAAGTGTGAGATTAACAGAAATCAGTATTCAGTTAAAAGGAACCTTTGAGACAATCTAATCTCCTGTTTTAGAGGGCAAGATGCTCATAGATGCTCTCCACTGGCATGTGGAGAGGCCAGAATTGGTGACCCTCAGCCTGTCCAGGGATGCCCTGGGTGGGACTGCCCCACTTGAAGCTTCTTCCCCTGTTCTCAGCTGTGATTCCAGTCTTAGTCTGACCCAACCTGATTCTCCCGTCTGCTCTCATCTCCTTAAACATCTACTAAGATAATGTCATTTCACCCAAAACACCATGGAAGTGCTAATAGCATTCTGCCAGAGTATTAGCTGAATCTTTCATTTTTCAGATAACTTTCAGGTGGAAAGAGTTGTACAGCCAGAGAAACTTGGGGTGGGACATCTTGTAAACCCAGAGTGAAGAAGTCGATGTCCCCGAAGGTCCCATAGGAAGCTGGGCCCTTACAAATCTGAGAACCCAAGTCATATGAACGGAATGTGCTGTACAACCACTCCAGACAAAAACAAGCTTCCTACTCAAATAAAGTCCATCTTCTGACAGTCATGGATCAGCTCTTTGGCTGGCAGCCTGAATGCTAAACTCTGAAACCTGGGTATCTGGGTGCATTACACAGGTCCTCAGCCCAGAGGCCCACTACTAACCCAGGCGTGTGGAGGACCATCATACTGACTATGCCCCAAACAGGCTGTGAAGAATTAGCCCCAAATCGGCTTGCTTATAGAAGCGAGTCTGGCGGAAGCCTGCCTGCTAAGGTTGGAGTAACTCGGCCTTGCCTCTCAGAAAATGTGAAATCGTGACATCCCCTCTGGAGGAGGTCGAGCTGCCTCCCCTCCACTGGAGTTGCTAAGACCACAGGTGCAGAGGAGGTGGGAGCAAAAGCATGAGGAGAACTGCTTGGCTTTGGTGCACCAGCAGATGTGGGCAGGAAGCTATGGCTGGACACAGAGGGCCGAACATGGCTTGCATTCAGTTCGGAAAGAGCTGAAATGAGAACACAAGTAATGGACTGAAAACAGCTAGGAAAGCTCTAAGGAGCACAAAGCAAGATAGCAAGAAAAAATACTCCTAGCTTTACCTGGGTGCCAGGTACTAGAGACCCCTGCCCTTAGGTTCCAATACCTTGCCCAGTATACAATGCAGGCCTGAGGCAAACTAAGATAGAACCAGGTGAGAGAAAGTGGAGAGCCAGGATGGCTAATGGCAGTGCAACCAACAGGGGTGCCGGTCAGTCCCAGGCACTGACTTTCATTGGCCATCAACTGGGGTAAAGTCAAGCTACATGCAGTTTCTATGGAAATTAATGTAAACAAGACATTCCCAAATTAGGAACAAAACAGACAAAATAATTAGAATATTGTAATTAGAACACTGCCCTAGGCAGAAGGTTTTAGTTGTGGAAACGGAATTGGGGTGCAAGTTACTCTAATCCAGCATATAGGCTTCAGCTGGACGCACTTCTATAAACAAGCCAATTGTGGGCTTAACTCTGCACAGCCTGTTTTGGGCATAACCAATATTACAGTCCTCTGCACCGGGAAACCCAACAGGGCACACTGAGGAGCCCCAGCACAGCCTCCACTTGCCTCATATGGTAAACAAGAACCATGGGCAGCGCTCACATGATAGATTCAGGAAACCACTTGTAGAGTCTGCCTTCCACCACACGGAGAAGACTAAACATCCTCACCACGCCAAGCAAAAGGATTGCACACTGCTTAAGAATTAGCACTAAACCCGCCTCCTCCTGACGCGACCCCTCCAGAGCAACACAAATGTCTGTCTCCTCCACCTGCTCCTCTCTGACTCAAAAGCCTGGCTGTATGGATTGCTTTTGTCTTCTATGACAAAATCTGAGTTAGTGGCTGCTCACTTTCATCACTGTGAAAAAATGTCTGTACTGAATCATCTTCAAGGAGGAAAGGTTTGTATTGGCTTGTGGTTTCAGACGCTTCAGTCCATGACCACTCTGCGTGCAAGGGCAGAATATCATGGCAGGGGGCAAGGCCAGTAAAGCCTCTCACCCCACTGTGGCCAGGAAGAGAGAGGAGGGGTGGGCAGCCCAATGTCTTCTTCGAGGGCATCCTCCCCAGTGACCTAATTTTCTTCCTTTAGTCACCACCTCCCAAGAACTCTGCCACCTCCCAACGGCACCACAGGCTGGCGACCAAGCCTGCAGCACACCTGTGAGATCCGAACCATAACGTGACCATGTGAACAGCTGAATCTACCCTCAGTCACCACTACGTGGCATGACACAAGTATCGACGGGTGAGATGGACTCCTGCTGATCCCCCTTCCTGCTACAAATTGTTTAAGCCTGTGGGAGCCCAGTTTCCTGACCTGTAAAAGAGGATAGCAATGCCTATGTCACCAGGCTGTCCTAAGGTCAGATGAGATATTGCCTATAAAGTAATTTCCGTGGCACCAAGAACCCAATAAATATTGAGTTCCATACTCCAGTCTCTCTAAGTAGGCACATGATCTGTGCATGAAAACTTTTACGGGCAGAATCACTTCAGTGGCCAGTTTTCATATTCATGACACCCCTTTTGGGTCCGGAGCAGCATGCTGTAAATTTAACACATCAGTGTGGCAGAATACAAGGTATACGTTTAAATGGACTAAAATCTATAAACAACTGCAGATCGGTCTGTCAGATTTGTTATTAAACACGGGTTGTAAACTTCTGAAGAGCTTTGATTTGAAGAATCATTGCACTTTGGAACTGTGTCCAACTAATCCTCACTGATGATTTATGAAAACAGTGCATCCACACTCGTTTTTTTCTTTTATTTTTTTCACACTCATTTTCAGTGGCAGGTTTAGCATCTCTTTTCCTTAGTGTTTTGCTCCCAGGAGGAGCTCTGTAACCTTTTTCAGTGACTGAGTGCAAGAAGGAATGTGTGCTCCTTAGGAAATGTGGGCCTGGCTTCCACCTCTCCCTGGAATTTGTCCCTCTGTCCTCCCACTGCTTTTCCTTCAGACATGAGGATGTGTAAAGAGATAAACAGAGCAAACCTAAGCCCAGGGTCAAGGGCTTTTTCCTCCTGATAAAAATTATTCTTTCTTAGAAATACAATTGGATATTTTCTAAAAGATTTTACTTGGATGCCTGCTCTGGTATTAGGAAAAAAACCAACTTTTCATCATGGCATGAATGCACTTAAAGACCTAAGTTAAAATCGAAAACTTGTCTCATACCCAAAGGGTAAAAAAGTTTGTGGCTTCAGTTAGCCACAGTACACTGAAATTTATTCTCCCGTATTTGATGCCAACTAAGCAAGGACTACTATTTGTGCACATGGGATGGTCAAGGTGGGCTGTCGACCTGACTGAACTTGGGGTCTGCCCAGAGGGCTGGTGGAGCACACATCCAGGAGTTTCTGGGTGAACCTCACCCCTTCCTCTGGCATTGTTCTGCTCTGCTTCTCAATACCCATGAAGGAAGCATCTTTGCTGCATCATGTGCTTCTGCTGCACTGTTTCTTCCAGCCAGCCACAGACTGAGTTCCTCAAAACCATGAGCCAAATCGAAGCATCCTTTAACTGAGGGGGCCAGGTGGTGGCCCTCACGGACAAGTGTGTCTCCCCAACACTGCATGTAGAACTCAACACTGAGCACCTTTAAACGCCAGGCTGGAGAAGTTGAAGGGTCGGGAGAGTTAGGAAAGGAAACCACTGGTTGCTTAAAGTCGGGGTTACAATATTAAAGTCGTTGACTGAGGCCTCTGATCTTAGGAATGAAGGGTGTGGAGGCATGGAAAGAGCTCTGACCTTCCTCCCAGCTCTGCTCTTTCACAAGGTAGAATCATGCAGTGGTTCAGAGGACAGACTTTGAAATCTGGCTTCATGCATTCAAAACTCATTACTGTTGGCTGTGTGATGGATGCTGTGCAAGTTACCTGATCTCTCTTAACCTCCTCATTCCCCTCTGTAAAAGGTGATGTTGATAGTCCTTCATATTAAGGGCAATAGCACTGAGCTGTTACATGAAGTGAGTCAATATATTTAAACCAGAATCGACATAAAGTCAAAGCTATTACTCTACTGAAAGTCTCCATTTCAGTAACTGCATCTCCATCTACCTAGAGCATGACAGCCATGTGGCAGTCATCAAGCCCATGCCCTTCACAGCCACACGCCCGAGACTTAACGTTCTCCCACTAAGCCCTGCCCACTAAAGGTCCCTCTACTTCACTTCCCAACGGTGCTGGGAGCTGGGAACTGAGGCTTCAGCTTGTGACGCCTGGGGACCCTGAAAACCTAACCATAACAAAGTCTCGACGCTCTGGCCTAGTTGGGAAGCGACAGTCTGGATGCACCACTGTTCTTGGCATCCTCATCCCCCACCAGACCGGTGCACTGACAGCAGGACGACTGTGTGAGCCCACACGGTGAACTCTGAGCGCCCCTCACCGCCCTCCTCACTCGGTTCTCTGAAGGCTGGCCGTCTCCTGCACATGGTCTCTAGGCTGGAGACAGATCCTCCTTGGGCTGAGCTAACTGGCCAAAAAGAAAAGCTGCAACGAGACTGACATGCCGACCCCGACCAGCTGGTCACAAAGGCGCTGCCTGCTCCTGCTCCTCCAAACCTCCACTCCGCCTTTGAATACCTGCTCTTCAATACGGCAGACGTCCCCAGATTGACGGACACTGAAGGACGTCTCCAACCTGCACATGGAGGCCAAAACCAATGGGCAGCAAGTAAGAACATTCAGAGAAAACCAATGCTGTAGGAAAGCTTAGCCTGAAAGAGAAAAATAACTGCCATGAACCTTCTCCAAGAGAAAGATGACACTGTTGGGGCCACAAAGTAAGAGCTGCCTGCTAGTCTCACAAGTAGTATTCATGCCGCCAAATGGAGCAGTCAGAAATCTAAGCATAAGACGGCAAAAGGGAAAAGATGAAAAGAAGATTTCAAGGATACCAAACCAAAAAGGAGTACATACACCTCATGGCTCAACTGTGAGTAAAATGTCCCTGGCCATATGGACGTCACCCAATAATATATTTTAAGAAGGGAAGTTTATGGTGCGTGCATGTGAGTGTGTGTGTGTGTGTGTGTGTGTGTGTGTGTGTGTACCAAATCCCATCTTCCATAGCTGGAAGCCAAGACATAAGACACGAAGTGGAGAGATCGTGGTACAAGGACAACGTGGAGGATAGCGGAGGCAGATGAGCAGAGACACCGTGCAGAGGCTCAAAGCAGCTGCCTCCAGGAGTTGGGAAAAACGCTAGGGTGGGTGGTGGTTGCTAACTGATTTTTTCTTTAATCATCCTGGTAGAAATAGCTGTGTATTGAACTGTATATATAACACTGCTATGTTTACAGGTAATTTGAGATGAAACTTTAAAAAGACTAGCAGATGCCACTGAACACAGTAGACATTCTACGTGGCCTCATCACCCCCTTCCTGTTTCATGACTCGCTATCTTAACTTTTCAAATGATGCTTATAATAATTCAGGGAGTATTTCTTCAAAACTTTTCTGTGCTACCAGCCAAGTCACTTGGGACACTTTTCAAACGTTTCCCAGGGACAGTGGAGTCAGCGACCTTGGGACCACTGCACTTCCATTCCTCTGCAGGAGAGCGGAAGTGCTGAGCAGGTACAGCGCTGCCGGGGTAGAGGGGATGTGGAGGAGGGAGGAGAGCCAGTGGCCTGCTCCACACGGACCTGGTCCACCGGCCACAGCTGCCACATGCATGGGTGAGCTCAGTCTGGTTAGCCGGAGCGGCCTTCTGGATATGCACTTAATCTGCACCCCTGGTTCTAAGGGCAAATCATTAACCCCCGGGGTAGGTGGCTCAGCTCACATTGGACCCTCACTGTAATAGATGTTGACCTATTGGAATGTATACTATGGCGGCTTCTCTGCAAAAGTTGAGCCATTTATTTAACCACCCTGGAGGAACAGGCTTTGTCTTGCAAAGACAAGAAACCCTTGCACTTTGCTGTTTAACACCTCGGGGCTCTGACTTTTGCAAATGCTGTTCATTTATGCTATCTCCAGTCCTTACACGACACCGAGTCACACTCAGGACACTGCCTGGGGCTGGAGGAGCAGATATCACTCTGCAAATGAAGAAACCAAAGTATGGAGTTGTGTAATGATTTGCCTAGTCTCAAAGCTCAGTGGTGACGAGGCAGGGAACGATCCCAGCTTGTGGTAAATCCTGGGTTCTCTCCACAGCTCTGGCAGTTCTGTCGCACTGGCTCACTTCCATCTGGGCCTGATCCAGAGCTTTAGCACAGCAGAGGACTACGAAGGTGCCGTGGCATTGCTGAGACCCAGTGAACAAAGGCATCAGACAGGTATGAGAAGTGACCATGAAGCTTTC